TGGAGCAGTTTTCTCACGAAACACGAATCAGCAAAGGTTCAGTTGTTGCGTTTCACAACGTTATTCTTTTAAGCTTACCATTTCGAATCGTGTCATGAAGTTCAAAAAGTTTGTTCTTTCCTTCAAAACAAAACTTAAACCAGCAATAGACTAAGCCGCAAGTACGATTTGCCGCCCACAAGTATGAAGACTAGGCAAAGTAGTGGACTACCCATCATCCCAACGGCCACTGAACGATCGCAGCGCCAGTGTCCCCTCAAGTTATTTTAGGAGACTCAATGACAAAAATGACCATAATAGCCAAACAGCTGATCGAAATGTTACGGAAAGGCGTTGTCCAAAAGTATGTCTAGTCCGGGGGCAGCGCGTATGATCATGGAAAAGAAAAAGGAAGGGTCATGGTGATTTTGTGTTGACTACAGAAAACTAAACGCCGTCACCAAAAAGGATGTGTGTCCGCTTCCTTGTAGTAGGGACGTCAGTGATTGCCAGCATTTTGATGCCTACTTTTTGTCAGTGAACTTGATTGATATGTATCAATTAACGCCACAAAACTAATATATGATTATGAGAGATGCCATAATGAAAGGATTTCAAAATTTCAACCACTTGGGTTTTTTAACATGCCCCAAAATCTGAGCACACGGGTCTTTAGCATTTTCGCCTTCATCGAAAATGCAGCCACCGCAGCCGGGATATGAACCGGTGACCTAGGGGTCAGCAACCGAATACATTAGTCGTGATACCACCACAGTTGGGCTTTGTCACTTGAATTGTAATCAAGGTATTAGCGGATACTCATGCGACCCAACGACAAAGAAAAAAAAACAGTCTTCGTGACACCTGACTGCCTTTGAAATTAAATGGCGCATGACTATTAGGTCCTTACAATGCGCCAGCAACGTTTGAATGATTTAGGCACAGACCACTTCAAGAATTTAAATGAGAAATTTGTGCTACTTAGAGGATGTGGAGATTTTCGGCAGCACTCCGAAAGAGCATAACAGACGTCTCAGTCCTGCTTTGGATTGTGTAGCAAAGGTCAGCTTGATTCAAAACTTTAAGAAAAGTCGCTTCGACTAACCGGAGACATTAGCGCTTGGACATCTCGTTCATAAAAGCAGCGTGATGCGAGACCCAATAATGCCTTCACCTCCCCCGAAGGCAATCGTGAAGATATGCGATTGGATTTCTTGTGCCGAAAGAGGGTGCCAATTGCCGTTAGAAATTCCCCTTCACCGACTACTGCCATCGCCTTGAGAGGGGCCCAGCCAGCAAACTGTTGAAAGTGAGGAAGCAAGTGGATGGGAGAGTGGGGTGCCAGCATTCTCAGCTTGGCGTTGGCAGTGTGGTAGCTTGGGCTAGTTGGTATGACAGGACGATAGTTAAAGCGCAAGGACAGAACGACGACAAATAGGACAAAAAGGAGACGAGCGCTGAAGCGTTGGATTTTCACAGCGGCGTCTCGAGCACATGTTCTTGAGAGGCACTCAACCAGGGTACCGTCGAGAGTGAGGCGCGAGCGAATGGGAGTTTGGGGCACAGAGAGGAGAGAGAATGAATGGCGACAGAAGGAGAAGCAAAGTACTGCACCTACCCTCTCCCAAACTGGTCTCGCACCCCTTACTCCAGTTGCTAGAGGCGAGGATCAGCGTGCGCACGGCTATGGGAGGGGGAGTGAGAGTGGAGAGATGACTCCTGTCGGCGCGCGGACACCGTCGGATGCTTGACACAGCCACTCTAAGAAATGCATTCCCAATAAAAATGCGCCCATATTCCCAAAGGTAATCGCGAGGAAATGTGTATATATTTCTTGCGCCCAGAGAGGGTATCCTTTGCTGTCAGACATTCGCCTTCACTGACTACAGCCATCGCCTTGAGAGGCTCCCAGCCAGTGAACGGTCGAGAATGAGGAGTGAGCCGACGGGAGACTGGGGCGACAGCGTTCTCGGCTCGGCGTGGACGTTTCACAGCGGCGTCTCTTGCACACATTCCGGATGGTCTTGAGAGGCGCCCGGCCAGCGAACGGTCGAGAGTGAGGCGTGAGGGGACGGTAGAGTGGGGCGCTGGGAGGAGAAAGAGCTGAACGGCGAGCGAAGGAGTGGCGAAGCACTGCACCTACCCTGTCCTGCATTCTCTCGCACCAGATGCTCCGGTTTCTTGGGGTGGGGATAAGCGCGCGCACCCACAGCTCTTGCCACGAGAGAGGGTGTGGAAGGAGAGAAGTAATCCCTGCCGGCACGCGAACACCAACGCGGACAACGCCGGATGCCTGACATAGCCCGTATAAAAATGTACTCATATTTAAAACTGAGGACATGAAGACTTTCGAATCAACAAAACTGGTGCGGGAACCGAGGAACTTTTCAGGAATATGCTCATATATTCGTCGTTTCGGTCAGAGGTTCGCCCACTTGGTACTCAGAAAATATGTCTTCTCCGAAAGGACATCCCTTTCAAATAGACTTTGCTTGGCTTGCGACGATGCTTTCCACCAGCTAAGGTTTTTACGAACGTCGGGGCCCACACTGCGTCACTTTGATTCGTTCTTGCCGACGGAAGTGCTTCCTGATGCTAGCGGCATCAGCATCGATGACGTACTAGTGCAGCGTCATCAATGCGCAGAGCACGTAGTAGCTTATGTCAGTGGCTCTTAACAAGGCTGGGCGAAACTATAACGTGACGTAACAAGAATGCTTGGCCACGGCTTTGGTGGTACGCAAGCTTAGACGTTATGTCTATGAAAGTACGTTCACTATCGTCACCGACCACCATGCATTATGCTGGCGGGGGAATCTCAATCAGCCGTTTCGATGCCGCCAAGTTTCGATGCCGCCACGCAGATGCAGATGCTCTCGCGCCTTCCTCTGAAGGCAGCTGAGAGTTATGATGACAATTTCGACGGCTGTTCTGCCTCCATGTCTTCCACATTCGCCGTCTTAATTACTTTCAAGAAAAAAAAAACACACTGATGTTAGTTGGGAGCCATTATTTGTAGTGGCATCACGTTCTGGAGCCACCGGCCGCTTTTGTGTCTGTGACAGCCTTTATTCTGGTACTGTCGGATACCAATGATTCGGATAAAGGCGCACGATTATTTCGATCGTAACACCGTCTACATACGAGAGATACGAAAAGCCATGCCTGACGATGTGACAGCTGGTCATCTCGGGTTCATCAGAACACTGAATAGGACACGAGAGGGCTTTTACTGGCCCAGAAGGCGAAACGACAAAGTACTAAGTCGCAAGTTCTTAACAATGTCAACAATACAATTGCCCTTTGATTCCTTCACTGGGTCTTCTCGAATCCCTGCCACCACCTCATTTACCATTTGGATAAGTTCGTATCGATATGGTGGGTGATTTGTACGTGGGTGATTTGTACGCTCAAGCAGAACTAACAACAATTGATAGGTGATAACATGCTTCGACCACCTGACTCTATACACAGAAACTGTCGCAATACAACCCTCAACAGCTGCGTGCAGGAGCATGTTTTTGCTTAGATTCATCATTCTTCCACATTGTCTTCCCAGAGTGATCATTAGTAGTCGTGGTGATGAAATCGTAACGGATGTCGTCGGAGAAGCGGTTCATCTGTGCAATTCGCAGTTCCGACATTCGTCGCCTTATCACTCTCAGCACGAATAGGCTGGTATAACGTACGAACAGAACTCTTGACTAACATGTTGACCATGAACGTATCACCCGACCACAATTACTGAGATGATGATCTCTTCGTAATTTATGCGTATAACACTGTGAAACGTCAAACAACCGATCGACACTATCCTACGGTTACACTTCCATTGTGACTACTCCTTCACAAATACGCTCTGTCTAGCTGAATCTCGGCTATTGTTCGTCCTCGTGCTGTGCATCGCAACATTGATCGTAGGAACGCTATGACAGCCGCCGCAGTCTGTCACATACTGAAAAGGAGGCTCTGCAGTTGGACTCAGCAACGTAAACAGGGTGGACCCTATAGACCATGTCCTTCAGAGTGTTCGCAGTACATGGGCTGTAACTAATTTTCTTGCTGAAGTTTCCAGTTATTATACATGAAATAACCTATACTGCAGATTGCTGCATGTCAGGAGCCTTCTTCAAGGCTAAGATGGCGGTAGTAAGTGCAAATATTTAGCTATAATATGAGGCCTGAACGGACAATCCTAGGAATATATTTTATATTATGGTCAGTATTATTTAAATTACAGCTGAATCCAGCGCGTATAGTACAGGCGAAACGCAGCAACATTGTTGTAGTATAGTAAGTTGTGATTGCTTCACATTCAGTCGCGAATGTTTATGTTTGCGATGACGTACGTGTTCAAGCAAAAATGAAGTCAAACACGAACTGCAACCGCTGGTGTTGAAAACTGCCTGTGGCAATGAGCAAGTCGGTGTTGCTACCAGTGAGGTTACATTACATATGATCGGCTTGTAAAACATATGATTGTAATGAAAATTGCATCACCATACAATTACATTAACTGACCTTTGCACCAGACAACGTTTTTCGTAGCAGCAAGTGGTTGCTGCTTTGACGGAGGCTGTATGTAGCCAGAACAATTAAAGCCAAACCGTTGTTCAAATTGGTTCAATTGAGTAGAACTGAGGCGAAGTTCTACGTTAAACCTGTCTATTGCACACCTAAAAAAAGCCCACAACCTCCTTCAAACCAGCATTCACACCATTAAACAACACGAATAAATGGAATCCTGGATCGGTGAAAAATGGACCCCTTTCGGAGGGCATCAACACCAAAAAAGACATTGAACTCTTCAGCGGTACAATTTTTTCTGTGTCTCTATGTTACTTGAGTATGTTATTTGAGTAACACACGTTTTAAGTATTACCATCGAAGATTGACCCTTCGAAAAACACCGCTGAGGCCAGTGACGGCAGGGCAGCGTTTCGTATTCACTGGTACCTCATATTCACACAGGACCACGGCTTTAGTTTAGTACTCAATGAGATAAGGACTGAAATTCTTACCAGATTTGACACCCCGTTTTTTCGAAGCTCCGGAGGAAGGGGACGGTGATGTGGAAGGCTTGGAGGAAGACTTCGGCTTCCTGACATCCAATGAACGCCGGAATTCTCTGAAGATCGCAGTGACATCGTTAACATTTGGCCGGTTGATTGCGCACAGGCTTTGTAAGAGCGCTGCATAGTCCAGAGTCAAGATGCTGATTTCTGCGCTCTGCTTTGGTGCGGACGCCATGTCTCTGAAAGAAAATGAATAAATCAGTAGGTGGACAACATGTTTCAAGGCGGCTGCAGTACTTGGCTCTGAGTGATGCTTTGCGTTTTTTGTCATCAAACCAAAGCCGAGTAATGTTTCATATTGTGCTTTCCCATTTCAATTCAGGAGTGGAGGAGGAGGAAAGTTTAAGCAGAAAGACAGGGAGGTTATCCAGTTCCTAGACCGGCTGGCTACCCTGTGCTGGAGAAAGGGGTGAGGGGAATAAAAGATGACAGAACAAAATGTCGCAAAGAGAGAGAGAGAGAGAGAAAATAGTGACAGAGGAAAGGCAACATCACAGAAAATAAAACACTAAGGTCTGTCTCTGAGGCCAGTTGTTCGCAAAAAGCATAGCAATGCTTTCAAAGCCTTTTGGGCTGAGTATGAGCTCTGCCAATGACCCAGAATTATCTTCTAGGATTGGATTATGATGGAACACATTACTATTACCTCAGGTAATGTAACTGCTGCCTGCTCCTGACAGAAGTGCTTTTAAAGAAATACGTCTTTTTATCGGGCGCTTTATGTCTCGAAACACACTCTGAATATGTGGAAAGCCATGTTATCGAGCTCTGAGCATTTAGATTTAATGTTTTTTGCTTGCTCGTATGTCACACTGTACACAGTGTTGTGGCATTTCACCTGCATGAACAAGGAGACACCGCAGCCTGGATCAAACCTGTGACTTTCGGGTCAGCAGCCAAGGCCCTGAACTACTGCACACCCATAGTGGAGAGGCATATTTAACTGTAAGCACTGCTTCGGTACAGAAACAGATGTTAGGTTCTTTCGTAATCTTTAGTTGATATAAGCATCAAAAGTAAACCAGGAAAAGTTCTTGGTCACGCAAAGTGACGCCATCTCGCTAAAGATGAAGCATAAACCACAAGTCGCGATACACGCTGAAAGATGGTGTTGAAAACTACACAGAGCAGCTACGTCTTAACGCATGCGTGTATCCTAACATGTGTGCATCTGGATTTGTAACGCCAGTGATCGCTATGACAAAGCAACGTTCAGTTTTGGGTGCGCATATGAGCTGCTTCTAATCGTAATCACCGTTTGGACAGACATTTGTGGTATCACGGCAACCTCGTTCCTATACAGCACTTGCAGAAGGAAGGACTGCTGGTTTTGTCCGATGAAAAAAAAAAACTAGTTGTGCTTTCTGTCAGCTGTTTACACCGGGCTGCAGTTCACTATATGAGCCAAAGAGATTTTATCTGGCAAAGCGTTTCATCTGAGCAAAAACACGGAATGAGAAAGCGCTTGGTCCTAGCTGCATGTTTGCTGACTGAGCACTTTCCAATAATAACATTGCTGCGGATTTTATGCAGCCGCCCATTTCGGGAACGTGTTCAATGGGTATTCAGACTAGTTGTACTGTTTCGATTATATTTCTGTTTCTTCCGTTTCAAAACACACCTGCGTCTTGTCTTTTGTGACGAGACACAAGGTAGAGAAGTATTCTTCTTAATCATGGTGTCGCTGAAGAAACGTTACGGTGGCGCGTACTCTCTGCATTGTCTGATGGGCGGTCAGCATCTGCTGGCTGAAGTACTGGGGTGACTTGATAGTATGAAGAACTAATCGCGAAATTTCCAGAAATGAATCACCCAGCACAGTAAGTGCGTCCCGACAGTTTTGTATATTTGGTAGATTCAGTCTCTGAATAGAATAGTCGGGTACCACACCCTCCTATATCGTTTTCTGGCATCGTGAACGTCTGTGCTTGCTGCTTCGAATTCGCTAAACAAATGCCGTACCTTACTGTCACACATAAAAGTTGTGCCACGCGCGTTTCTCCTTCGTCGATGAATTTCAGCTGCCTGAGCCCCCGAGCAAGCAGAAAGGAAAGTACAACACGCAATTCGCACTTGGCCGTGGATAATTGTAAATATGATAGATATTGCGCAATTAACTTGCGCTTACCTATCTAAGGTTTTCACCGTGGGTTTTAAACAGTGACGATTCACGTCATCAAAGAAGAAAAAAAAAGAAAGAAGAAACCAGTAATAGTGTTTTCGTGACACATTTAGCATATCGTCAGAATCAAGATGCGACCGACAGATGGAAACAAGTGGTGGGATAATCGGGGTGAACAATAGAAGAGCTTTAGACAGGCTGATAGACGTTTCAATAGGGGAATCTTTTTCACAGGCGTTAGACCATCCTATCCAAACATCGATAGGTCAGTCTGAGGCCTTCCACTGTTCACCTTGATTATGCCATTTCACATATCATGTATATTTTGGGCTCTTCCAAGTTAGACAAAAAAGATCATGACAGCGCGTTTCGGCAACCCTAAATATTCCAAGCACATCTAACAATGTCACACCTTCTGAATATAAAATTTGTGAATACTTTTGGTACCCGTACTTTTGTCACATAGTTTTCATGTCTACACACATAACTTTTCACGCTATTGATGAGTGTATGTTAATCATTGAGTGAGAATAAATTAGACGATGTTCTTATGCTTCTTCGTTCTTGCTTTGGTGTTTTAAGCGTTTAAAGCTTTCACTTACGATGCAGCACCAGTTCAGCAAAACGTACTGAGGCACATGTTAATCACGTAATGAAAAGCCCGAGTATAACTGAATGCACGCGATGATGCTTACGATTATGTTGATTGCTCAACCGTGCTTTAAAAAAAGGACACTGCAGATAATTGACAATAACGCAAGGAAGCTTTCGAGGTGACAGCCAGGCAAAAAAGCGAAAGGCCGGTACTGAGCTGATTACGGTGTATGCATGTAGAAAAAGTTATACAAAAAGAGAACACTTGGACAGGGCGTGCATTGAATTTATCCAGGTTTTTTATTGCATTATTTTTTATCCCATAGTGTGTTATTTCTTCCGTGGTAAGGTAATTCTCGGGTTTCTTACGCCATGTGCACGATTTAATTCAGAGGCACGCTTTAGCGATAATTGGTGGAAGAAATGGGGAGCTCTCCAACTTCATGTAATTACTGTCATGCCTAGAGTGTTGCGTCATTGCAGTTCCCCAAGAAGTACATTCATTTGGTTCGTGCCACGTTTCCGCGCTACGTATAGATACCAAGCCGTGGCCTAAACGACCTTGCCACAACACTTAACATGCGCGAAAGTAAAATTACTTGCAAACACAAACAACTTCAGTCACATTACTGCTCTCTGGCTTCATGGGACCATGCGCAACACGCTGTTCTCACACCTTATGTGATATTTTTCATAGTTGTTTGAGGGATTGATATGTGGGGTTTAACGTCCCGAAACCACCATATGATTATGAGAGACGCCATAGTGGAGGGCTCCGGAAATTTCGACCACCTGGGGTTCTTTAACGTGCACCAAAATTCGAGCACACGGGCCTACAACATTTCCGCGTCTATCGGAAATGCAGCCGCCGCAGCCGAGATTCGAACCCCCGACCTGCGGGTCAGTAGACGAGTACCTTAGCCACTAGACCACCGCGGCGGGGCAAATTTTTTTCTTAGATTATTTTAGTGTTAAAAAGTGTATTATGTGAAATCTTGTTTTTTTGTTGTATTAGCGATATGAAGGTGTGCGTGTTAACGTAACTGTATATATGCGTGGTTTTAAATTTAACAGTGTCAATGAATACTGTCGTGTACACTCCGTGTATATTGCTTTTCGGAAACTCTCTTTTACGAATATATTACAGTTGTTTTGAAATAACTAGTTGTGAATTCATTTTTGACTTATTATGTATTGTGCATGTTATATACTGTACTTGCATGTTGTTTATCTGTAATCATTTTCGCCCTATTGCCTTGTGTGTGTTCAACTCAACAGGGCCTTCGTAAAATCGTTCTCATGGCTTTTAGCCATAGTTACTTTGAAGTTTCATGCTGTGATGAAAAAAATTGAATTTAGAAATTGATTTTAAACACAATTACGCGAGATTTACTACCCGATAATTAACTACAGACCCCTAATTATCAATAAGTTTCAGTTTTGGGTTGAGAGAGCTTCAAAAAATGGGTGCAACTGTCGCCACCTTCCGTGTTTGAACACACGTGTCTTTCAGAATAGCGGCTAGCTTTCTGCGAACAAACGCAGAAAGCGAAACTTTCGTGCGATAAGAAGCACGCCAGGCCAGTTCTGCGTTTCATGGAGGGCTTTATTGACTTAATTCCGTTGAACTGTGGCAAGGTGTACATAGGCCGCCCCGCCGCGGTGGTCTAGTGGCTAAAGTACTCGGCTGCTGACCCGCAGGTTGCGGGATGGAATCCCGGCTGCGGTGGCTGCATTTCCGATGGAGGCGGAAATGTTGTAGGCCCGTTTGCTCAGATTTGGGCGCACGTTAAAGAAGCCCGGGTGGTCGAAATTTCCGGAGCCCTCCACTACGGCGTCTCTCATAATCATATGGTGGTTTTGGGACGTTAAACCCCACATATCAATCAAGGTGTACATAGGCGAAACAGGATGCTGTGGTAATGATCGCCTTATAGAGCTTATCTTATCAATTAAGAATGGCTTGGGTTCGCACAAGCCGTTACATTGTGCTTCGTGCGGCTGCACACCACATTTTCGAGAGGCACGTGTGTTAAGACGAAGCAGATATACGTTAACACGTCAAGTATTGGAGGCATACCAAACACAAAGGAAGGGAAACGAATGAGTCATTGTTTTGTGAGTTACTTTGTAAAAGAAGAAATACCTGTTTCTAGATTGCACTGTACGTTGGTTTTCTTGTGTTTGAGTTTTGGCGTGTGCAAAGTGATAGTCGCTTGTGCCGCGCCTTCTCTATGTGCGCATACTTGAAGCATGTATATTTGGTTGATGCGAGGAAAACAAATGAGCTGAAAGTCTGACGCTTTATTCTGTCTCCTTCTTTCTTTGCTAATATCTGTTGCGTCACCATAATTTTATTAAGCTTTGCATTGTCACATTTACTGAGGAGAAAAACATTTACAGCGCAGGAACGCTGCTTCCGGCCGCTAACGAGTCAGGCTGTAGTATACCAAGTGCAC